TCAATGCTTTAATGAGATCTTATATTTGTCCTGCTTATGACCCTCCAGTGGTATTTTTATGTAACTGGAATAAAATTCTAACCCCTCCCATAGCTTGAACTACATGATCTTGTCTCTGCCTTCCTCCCCCATCATCTCCTACCACTCTTCATCCACCACACTCTAGCTCTTCTGGTCTTACTGCCCTTTGAGCACACCAAGCTGCTTCTCGTCCCTGAACTGCTCTCTCTTTAATAATCTTCCCACAGTTCTTCATATGACCAAATGCCTTCTTTTTATTATTTCAACTCAAGTGACACTTCTTTGAGAGATATCTCTGACTACTCTTGCTATAATGAGCCCTTGTATGTCCTCCCACCCCCTGCCATCATTATTTATCACATTGAGCTTTTCTTTTCTCACTTAGAACTTCTAATATCTTTACTACTACTACTACTCTGACTACTACTATTTTGTTGGCTAGCATTTACTGTGTGGTAAATTAGTTCTAAGCATTTCCATGCATTAAATACTAATATGTATATTGTTATATTCGTAATTCATTTACTTGGTATTTGTTTACGTATGTATATATTTTTTTATTATCTACTTTCTTCTCTTATAATCCCTGCTTGCTCCCCAAACTGTAGCTCCAGGAAAACTGGCACTTTTATTATATTTACTACTACAGGCGGTCTTCAAAAAGTTCATGGAAAGATTTGTATTGTCTTTCAAATCTATTTTTCCATGAACTTTTTGAAGTACCCTCATATTTCTTCTGCCTTAAACAGTGCTTGCTACATAGAGTAGGCTCAGTAAATATTTTTTAAATATTGGATAAGCTCTTTGAATCCATAGTAACAAATAGAGCCATCATATATTTATATAAAATAACCTCCTAGGGGAGAGGGAACATTTTCAATGGAAATCATGCCTGACTGACTATTCTTAGTGTCCTTTTATGTGAAGGTAATAGGGTAATATACAATAATCTTCATAGGTTTTAGAAAAGACTTTGACAATGTTCTTTACCCAAGATTTCAATGGAAATCATGCCTGACTGACTATTCTTAGTGTCCTTTTATGTGAAGGTAATAGGGCATATACAATAATCTTCATAGGTTTTAGAAAAGACTTTGACAATGTTCTTTACCCAAGGTTACCAAATGTTAAGTCACCACTGGAATGGGAAATATGCTTTTAGCATGGCCCAAGAGCAGGTTTAAAATTAGAAATTGAAGGGTTGGAATAAATAGGTATTTATTTGACTGGAAAAGTGTAAAGATCAAGGTGCCTCAGCAATTAATGATTACATCTGTTATGGTGTGATTTGTGCCCTCCCCCCTGCCCTCAATGGATATCTCGAAGTTGTAATACCCAGTACTTGTGAATGTGACCTTATTTGGAAATAGGGTTTGTAGATTTGATCAAGTTAATATAAGTCATCAGGGTGAGCTCTAATCCGATATGACTGGTGGCCTTATAAAAAGAGAAGGGCGACTGACATACAGGAAAGATAGCCATGTGAAGGCAGAGGCAGGGATTGTAGTTATGATGCCACAAGCATAGGAATTCCACAGCAGGTGAAGAAGGATCCTCCCCTAGAGAAAATTTGGAGGGAGCGTTGCCTTGCCAACACCTTGATTTCAAATTTCTAGCCTCCAGAACTGTGGGAAAATAAATTTCTATTGTTTTAAGCCACCCAATTTGTGGTACTTTTTTACAGCAGCCCTAGGGAACTAATATAACCTTCATTGTGATTATTATCTTTGTAAGTGATCTGAAAGAAGGACTGCCTAGTTAGGTAGCCAGATGATATCAGATTTTTCTAGTTGTGAAGAGCAAAACCAATGGGTACAGATGATGAAGGGAGAAGCAGACACCAAAGTTAGCTTTTCTCTGGGCTAGACCAAGTAGCAAGAAATAAAGCTTCTTTAGATTTTTATATTCCTGAGGGTAAGCATTAATTTTGATTTATTTTTCCTCCAAGATTGCTTCCAGATTTAGTTTTGTGATTTTATGAACCTGGGTAAGTGCCTGACACCTTGTAAATGCTCAGCGAATATTGAAAGGATAAATGAATAAAACCAAACAGGAAATAAGAAAGATAAGAAAATATAAGTAAATTTATTCAGGTATAAAAATCCAAAATATATGTTTAAACTGAGCTAGGGAAAAAAATGAGATCAAGGAAGGAATATTGAGAAATAATATGCATTGTTTCCTGAGTGTATCAAAACTAAGCAGAAAGACAAAATTAGTAAGTTGTTAATGCACTGTTGGAGACTCCTTTTTGGCAACAAAATCCTTTTGGTGAGATGGAGCAGGGACCTAACCCAAGAACCACAGTGTAGCAGTTAATTGCATAGATTCTGGAGCAGAGTTGCTTATATTTGAATCCTGCATCTGCTACTCACTGGTTATGTAACCTTGGGCAAGTTAGATAACCTTTCTGCACCTCAATTTTCTCATCTGTAAAGTAGGGCTTGTAATAAAACCTATCTCAAAGGATTATTGTGAGGGATTAAATGATATAATCCACCTAAAATGCTGAGAA